TTTCGAGTGCGCGAAATATTGGTAGTGGGGCGCGATGAATTTACAGCAATATAAAATTTAATACCTGGTTAAAATAAAATCAATAATTATTGACAAATCGCGGGAATTTCGGAATATAATAATTTAAAAATTGGGGAACTTTTAAGAAAAGGGTCGATCCAGTTAATTAAAAATAGGAATTAATTTTTAGTTCATTACATCACTTTAATAGTACAAATTGAGTAATTAATTAAGCAGATACTATCAATATTATTTGTAGCAAGGTTCAGTCTTAAATCCAACTTTGTTACAGAAATCATGATATGCAAACATTTGTATTTCCTGCAATATTTTATTAATATTTAGCATCAATGATGATGGTTGTCTAAATCTAAAAAAACTGTTTATTTAACTTACGTGCTTATAGTTTGAAATAAATATTATGTACAGAACTTAAATAACAATTATTTTGTTACCGAAAAGAAAACGAATAATTAATTTTAATTGGTCGGATATATCAATAGAGCGATATCCATTTTTAAATGAGTGTTAATTAAGCTATCTAAATCAGTAACTAAGAAACAAATTATCTGTTTTATTGGATTTTTATGTGTTCGGCAACAAATTAAAGCGCAATATATTATTTGTATACCAACACAAAGGCCAATGCATGATTAACATTAACAGTTCAATAGTGTATCAGTCGCGGGCATTTTTCTCTGAGAATAAATTATTTTTTCTTTGATGTCGAGCGATAAAAATTACATTTTAATTATCTTATTTACAATTCATGAGCCCCTGGGTTATTGTCGGTAACAATTACACAAATTCCGCGGAATATTGCTAATACAGGGTATTATCTAATTCAGAAACGATAATTCTCAATTTATTATGATGATTTGAGATAAAAATGCATGGAAAATTATCCAATTTTTGACACGTGCATTGTTATAAAGTTGGTTAAAAAGAGATAAATGGAAAGATCGTGGAATTATCATGTGCCACAGTGTTTTATCGATTTGGCTCGTTTCTCATTCTCTCTAACTGTTCAACCACTCAGTATATTCTTTTGAGATTTGGTACACATGTTTTCTAGCTAATACCTAAACGAATAAAGTACCAGCCAATAGAAAAATCCTGATCCGAATTAACAAAAAATCAAATTGTTGTGTCCTCAAACTAGCACCCTGTATGTCAGAATTTTAAAAATCTGTTTACATATTTCAAATGAGTATAAAATCCTAAATTAAGAAAGTGTACTTTTATTTATTAGGTATACAAAACTTTTACAGATGACAGATGTTTAAAATGCGAGAACTTTGAATTTCATATCATTTAGACCAGGGAGACCAAGTAGTCGATACCGACCCCTTGGGATCGAAATCTGTTTCCCAGGGGTCGACATAAACGAAAACTGCCCTTGGGGGTCGATGAGATCTGCAAATCAACCCCTATTAATTAACACAAGTTCTAATTTGAAACTTTCAAGATACTCTATAAGTTGTGTTACGTGTACCAACTTGTTATAATAATGACTCATAGTTTATTAGGAAGTATCGTTGTTGTACTTTTAAAAAATTCAACAAGACGATAATCGTGCACAAGTTCGTACAAGATGAAAAGATCAGCAATTCAATAAGCGTGGACAAGTTCGTGCAAGATAATGAGTTCGAGCGTACAAGTTTTTCAGGCACGTTGTGACTTGCTCTGTATTTGACGCATATACGCGATTTTACACGAGCGAAATGATGATCAAGTTCAAGTCCAAACATGCTCCTGATATTTTACTATATAACAAGCTTGCACTTTGCGTTTTGAAATTCGTTAGAGCTTTAATGAAAACACAGAATATTAGGTGATAGTCAACTCAAAATCTTAATTTTGTTGAATAACTATTGTATCCCTAAAAGGTTGTTGTTTGGGTTGGAGTATGAATAAAGGTACCATTTCGGAACACACGACAGACGACAGCAGAAGCGACGGCGAAGGAGACAGATGCATTTACGTTACGCTTCACACATTTAGGAAGCCGAGGTAAGGAGACCGCCAACCATTTGATAGCAACAATCAGTGTTGCCAGACCTTCTGTTTTAAAGTAGATCCACTGTTTTTGTCTCTGTTCTCCTGTTTTTGGCATGAAATCTACTGTTCTCGCCAACTTAGCAAATTTTGTTCTTAATTTATTAAGTTTACCTCATTTTTCAGCAAATGGTCAACGACATTTTCTCTAGTAAATTTGCTGAAGTAAAAGCAGCGTAATAAGCAGCCACTATTGTAGGTTTGCTCCGTAAAAATGGTACCTACCTTAAACATTTTTTGAACCCACACTTACTGTTGCACGATATCGCAAAAAGATACTTGATCCATTCCTAAATCAACTGGATTATGAGGAATTACAAAATGGGAATTTCCAACAAGATGGTATAACAAACAGCACATACAACCAGAGAATCACTGCAATATTTTGGAGAATTTTTTAATGACATATTAAGCAGAAACACTGATATCCCATATACAACTGGGTTTTGCGATTTAAACTATAGTACGTTAAACAACGCATCAAGCAAAATTAAGATGAGACGTTAATTATATTTGGACGTGAGTGGAATGAGGAGAGTAACTCGCGATTCGCCTGCCTGCCTGCCTGCCATGTTTACACCTCTGTCATTAAGGTTCATTTGCACCACTGGTCGTTAAGAAATAGGCCAAGCTTAAAATTACATTTTTCCTTTGACAATATCATTTTAAACTTCACTTATTTCATAATTACTAGGGTGCGAATGGCCCTAAGTGGGATAGCGTGTAGTCTATTTCTCTCCATTTAACAGCATTGTCTTTTTATACCTTTCTCCTGAAGTCAGTGTTGGAAAGTTAACATACTGTATGCGATTTTTTCGTATGGTGATGCATCAAAAATTAAATTTTTTCAACGCCAATTCATAATCCAGAAGAACTGAGAAATTGCATGATAGAAAAGGGAACAACAACTCACTGCAAATGTGGAAAATCATTTTTATTTACAACCATATATGTAATGTTGTCATTACTAACGTCATTGAAGGTTGGGAAGTGTCACATTACACACATTTGTCGTTAAATGTAATATTTTAGGTATGTTCAGAGCAAAACAGATTTATTAACTTCGAAATATGATGGTTGTAAATAAAATAGTATACAAACCTCGGTAGGAAGTTTCATTCCTGTCTCGAGATCATAGCTAACCTCGACGCTTCGCGTCTCGGTGATCTAACTAATCTCACGACAGGAATGAAACTCTTCCCACCTCGGTGTGTAATATACTATTTCTGGACTGCGGAGAAAAGTTGGTTTGAGGACATTTTCAACAATTTCTGTAGGTTTATGTACATTTTGATTATGACTTGGATTGTCTTTTTTTGACAGTATCATTTCAAGGTAATAAACTTTGTGTACAATGAAAATTTCAAGATATGTATGTCATTATGTGGAAGTGACTAAAGTACAAACCCAAAACTTTTAAATTTCACAGCCAACTCGTTACAACTTACACTTTTATGGACATAATTGAACTGCATTTGTATGAAGCGGCATTCTGCGTTTAATTTTAAACAGCATTTCCTTTGTTATGGCCACCACATTCGAAAGCCGTATGCAGGGTTCCCAACTTAGCGATTTTGTAGCTAGATCTAGCGATTTCAGAATTTGAATTTAAGGTGTCTCACACCCAGCGCTTTTCGTCAATATCTGGCGACTTAAACCTTGGTGGGTGGGTGGCTCGGTGGTTGGAACCAGGACGTTCGGCTTCAAAAGGGACACGGGTTCGAATCTCGCAGGTGACGGGATTCATTTAATCAAATAAAAATTTATTCTAATGCCCAGCTAGGATCCCTACCCCACTATTAGTTTTAATTAACGTGCTGTTTCTAGTGGCGCTTCTGTATCTGTAACGTGTGTAGGGTGGGTTATCCCACGGTACTTAAGCCTCACTAGGCCTATTGTGCATCCTAAGTTGACAGGAACCTCCTAGCTCGTGACCCAGCCTACAGATTTAATGTAGTTGACAACGTCGCCGAGAGGTGCTTCTCTTATATCGACCGGTGTTTGGCGATACTCGCCGAACACAAATCTTCTATTAAATGGGAGCGTCAAGCAATCGTAGAGGATATGCTCGATGATCTCATCTTCTTGTTCGCGCCCCCTATAGAGTATGGATTCTGCCAGTCCCATGATATTAGGATGATTCCGTACTTCGTCATCAGGCGCTGATTCTATCAAGTATTTTTTTGCTTCGAGGTTTTTAGTTTTCATGTCATGTTCTTTGATTAGCGCACCAGTGCTGCAGTGTGGATCTCTTGAGAGAGCTTTTTGAAGCCTCGTTGCCTGCTGGAAATCTTCGATTTCTTCGCTGTAGGATCTCCATGCATCTCTCTATTTTTGTCTAACGATTTTTTTTATTTTCTCTGTGGTGAGATTTGTAAGTAAGTGTTCCAGTTCTCTGGGTTTTGTGTCTCTTGCCTTATTAAAGGATTTCCTAGCCTAGATTGGCGCTTATAAACAGTAACAAAACCTACATAGAACACGAGGCTAATAGCTTTAGTAGTTGATGCCGATAACACAAAAACAAATAATATTTAAGTTTTTTTTTTCAATGAAAGTCTATCTGTTTTTGTTAATGACTTAGCTTATGCCTACTTCGAATAGAAATTGTTTTATTTTAAAAGATTTGTATGTTCATTTTTATCAGACGTTTATTAAGAAATGTTTGAGTGTATTAAATAAATATACATGCCATATTTCTTCAATAGCAAGTTGTGTTCCTATATATTGTACCTATATAATTTTAATCGCCATATTTTCAAAAAAAGTCTCTAGATTTTCAAAAAAAATGTCGCATGAAACAAGCCATTTTCTAGCTTCGGTCGAGTTTTTTTTTTTATTTTATTATGGTGATTTTCAACTCGTAAAGTTGAGACTTTCACCTGTTAACAATACTAGCCCTATGAACTTGTTCAAAAATACTACAGTAATGTTTTTGTTTCTAGGCTTACGCGTTAAATCCCGCGGGCCCAGTTTACACAGGACCGGGCGCGAGTCCGACGCAAGCACCCGCCGAACCGTTCACGGCCGACAGTCCGTATTTTCCTTTTAACGCGCGTCCCGGTAGCCGGTTATCGCCGGCGAAAGCGAAAGTCATACCCGTATCCGGTCTGAGGCCGACTAAGGAGGAACCTGCTGGCACGGCGACCACTTTGGATAGTCAATGGGGCGTGGTAAGTTTCAATTTTTTCTTCTTTTATCTCTTTATTTCTGTACATTATCGATTTATTTGGAGTCAGGTTACGTTGATTAAAAGAATAGTAAAACATAACGCATAATAAAAACCGGTATTAGGAATATATTGTAATCGTATTCTGTACTCGAAGAAAAAATAAAGGTTTTTTTTAGTGAAACTAAGTCTGGTTAAATAGGTGTACCAAACTGAAATGTAATAAAATAATTCAAATTTATCACTAGGTACACAAATTTGAAAAAATTGAGGCATAATTATTACAAGTTTTGAAAATACCAGTAAATTTTAATAATTTTAAAATAACTAAATTGTCCTTTGATTGGTCGCATCAATTTTTCAAATAACCCGATTAAAAAGGGAATTTGGTATTTATTGAAAAAATAACAAAGAGCTGTCTAGAGATTCTTGAAAGGAGAAGACGTATTTCTCGTTCCTCCCAAAATAAACCAATATAAATTATAGAAAAAGCAGAAAAATTGAAATTAACCTAAAAATCTACAATAATAAGTTAAGTTAAAAATAATTAATTAAAAACAATTAAACGTAGTGAAACATAATAAGAATACACTAACCCTGTATAAATGTGTAATTCATGATACGCATGACTGTTTCGTCAACATCATTTTTGGACGGGCCACTGAATTATCTCCATCATCTATATCTATACCCATGAACAGGACGCAACCTAGAAAAGAACAAACTATCCATTTTAACTTAAGATTCTAGATTTAGACCCAAATATTTTGCTGTTTTCTTATTTGGTATAATATTGTTATTTAAGTTAATTGGTATGTCATCTATTCTTCTATTGGCAAAGTTAATGTGAGCGAATTTTTCTTCTTTAAATTTTGTGCGCCACTGTTCAGACCAGATGTGTATGCTATTGATTCCGCTTTGAATATTAGCTGTTGTTTCTTCTATAGTTGGTCCTATTTTTAAGACAGCTGCATTATCAGCGAATGTGGCTAATTTTATATTTTCTATCTCTGGAATGTCATAGGTGTATAATAAATATAATACTGGTACAAGAACACTTCCCTGTGGGACGCCAGCATTTATTGACTTGAGTTCAGAGTATTCGCCATTTTAACTTTAAATGTTCGCTGCGATAGATGTTGGGCATATTGCATCGGGAAATTTTCTAAGATATCAAGAAATCTGCGGAACAACTTTTTTCTTCTTCTAAAGAATTCCCAATGTTATTTATTATGCAATGGATCAATAGTAGAATGTTTATCCCGAAATCCGAATTGATGGGACGGGATAAGTTGTTTTTGTCGAATATCTTATTCAGTATTTTTAGGAGCAATTTCTCATATAGTTTTGATATCACAGGTAGAAGCGATATTGGTCTATATGATGTTATTTCATTATTGGGTTTTCCTGGGTTGGTTATCATTTTTACCTCAGCAGTTTTGCATAGTAGTGGAACATGTTGAAGTCTAAATGCTGAGTTTATAGTATTGGTCAGTATTACTAAATCTTTTCGTGGTAATTTCTTTAGTATTTCTCCTGTGATCAGTCCTGTGTATTTTTTTTTTTTGTAGGTACTTCTTTAGGACTAGTTAATAATATTTTCTCTGTATCACTAACTTCCTCTTGGTTGTCCATTTCAGTTTCTTTAATTGGTAAACACATCAACTTTTTGCCCACATTCTATTTTCTGTTCGTATTGGAATGTGTTACGTGTTGTTTATTTATTGGCACTTTTCCATAATGAGTGATCAGTGATTTGGTCTCTCGGATATTTGTTGGTTGACTCATTTTTAGTTTTTTCTATCTCTCTTCATAGTTGTTGCAAGTCTATTTAATTTGTTTTTGTTCTCTTCAGTTCTCATTTTTTTGCCACTCCTTTAGAGTCTTTCTTTTGTTTTGTATTAAATCTTTAAATCCTCTTTGAGGTAATTAATGATTTTTCTTTGTGTTAATGCTGCTTGTTGGATGTTGACCATACATAACTCTGTTTCTGTATCCAAAGCTTCCACCGTCCTCATTGGGACATTTGATTCAATTTTTTCAGTTCAAGTTGAAATATTTACCAGTCTGTGTGTTTGTTCGTCATTGAGTTCTCTAGTGATAATATCTTCACTCATTGTTAGGAGTATTGGGGCGTGATCCGATATGAATTCTTAATTATTTTCTATCTTTATAAAATTTGCTGCAATATTTCTGGAAATAAAATCCAGGAGGTAAGGTATTTTGTTTATATTGCTTGGCCAATATGTAGGTTTTCCTGTGAAGTACCACCTACATTTCTGATCTTTGATAGCCTCGTTGTTTTCCTTTGGTTGTAGTAAGTTTTAATTAAAGGTACTTTAATTAAACCATACCAGTATAAAATTCAAACTTACATTAGTTATCCTTAAATGAAATAAAGTCACAGCAGCTATACAATTTTGGTTTTTAAATCTTCATTTTGACATGAACCAGTTTGCTCTAGTAGCGCCCATACAAATATCAAATGATTAAGATATCCTACTGCATTCATATCGCAAGAATAAAAGAGGGTTGTTAAGACCACCAATTTTAAATAGATCAGATGGAAACCCACTGTGGTTCAACCCCATTCTAATAATGTAAATAGAGTATAGTCTGAAATTCGTACAAGTAGAAAACTGATAAAAAAATGGATGTAAGAAAATGTTTTCGCTGTCCCGAATACAATATTTTTATATATTTAATAAAATTATAGGTACACGGCCTTTTAATACAATGTATCAATAAAGTTTATATCTGTTATAGTCCAATTATGTACTGAATAGCTCTTAGAATATAAATCACATAATATATGAAATTTAAATAAGACCCCTTTCGAATAATTTTAGCTGAAATACGCAATTAGGTAATGTAATTTCATTTCAAAATAAAGTAATTGTTCTGCTAGTTGTAAAAACGAGTTTTATTCCTAACAATAATACTCCTCAACTGTAACCTAATCGTTTCATAATAATTTATTCATCCACTTATTTCTTCGTCTCCCCGCTTAGCCCTTCCGTTCTTCCTCCTTCTTTTCATTCGGCAGAGTCATTCGAGACCCTAATCGACAAGTTCCTTTGTTGGGATACTCGAAACATAGATATTACGTTGAAATGCTAGAGAAATGGGGGATGAGATCGTATCGGCGGGGTGGCTCAGCGTCCTTTACAGGGACGTAGTGCGTGGGAGGCTATAGTTTTAACATGAGAGATTATTTTTAAATAAAAAATTAAGATATAATACAAGAGGTTGAGACAGCTTATCTCTTGGAATAAAAATAAGACAATTTAACCCAGTTTACCTATATCCAAAATTAACTAGTCTTAAAGAAATACAAAGAGAAATAAAAAATAATATTGATCTAAAGAAAGTTCACATGTTCGATCTGATCACAGGAGGATACTAAAATTACCACGAAAAGGTTTAGTAACACTGACCAATATAATGCAGTATTTAGACTTCAACATGTTTCTCTACTATGGAGAACTGCTGAGGTAAAACCAGGAAAACCCAATAAATAAATAACGTATAGACCAATATCGCTTCTACCTGTGATATCAAAACTATTTGAGAAATTGCTCTTAAAAAGACTGAATAAGATAATGGACAAAAAACAACTTATCCCGTCCCATCAATTCGGATTTCGGGATAAATATTCTACGATTGATCAGATCCATCGTATATTATTGAGAATTCTCTAGAAGTAAAAAAAGCTGTTCCGCCGTATTTCTTGATATCTCAAAAGCCTTCGAGCCTACTATTTAAAATAAATAAATTTTTCCCGATGCAACTACTAGAATCATATCTATCGCATCGAACATTTAAAGTTAAAATAGAAAACCGATACTCTGAACTCGAGTCAATAAATGCTGGCGTCCCACAGGGAAGTGTTCTTGGTTCAGTATTATATTTATTATATACCTATGACATTCCAAATATATAAAATAGCCACATTCGCTGATTATACAGCTGTGTTAGTTGATCCTATTGTTAAGATAATCTTCAAAACGGAATCAATAGCATACAAATATGGTCTAAACGAGGCGCACAAAAATTAACGAAGAATAATATGTTCACATTAACTTTACCAATAGAAGAATAGATTATATGCCAATAAACTTAAATAATATTATACCAAATAAGAAAACAGCAAAATATCTAGGTCTAAATGAGGATGCCAAATTAAAATGGAAGGAGCATGTAAAAGTGAAAATTGAACATTTAAGGAGGTCCTTTCGCCACCAATGTTAAATAAAAAATATTAGATTATGACTAAAATTAATTTTTTCTAATAGTTGAAGTCCTTATTTATCTAATAGTGAACTTTTAACTATACCTTACCGTGCAAATTTTTGAGAATCTTTTTTTAAATTTGAGTATTTGTACAGTGTCTTACGAGAAAGTAAGACCTCAACAACAATCCTCGAATTATACTATTATTTATTGATTAGATGGAGTAGAAAAAAAACTAAAAATAAGGTTTTTGAAATATTTAGGTTTTGTTTTTTACAATAAAATATATAGGTTATCGTGGAATTTATTGAGAAATTAATATTAAAAAATCACCAAAAAATTTTCAACTAGGTTACTTGAAATTTTTTTTTAATATTATTTTCTCAATAAATTTCACGGTAACCTATACAGTGAGCACCATAAGTCTTACCCCCCCTATCTAACTCGTTACTGGAGTCTTGTTAGGAAAATCGCCGATTTTTGATTTCTACAATGTACATTTTTGTATGAATAGTTTACCCTTAATTTCATCCCTTACTGGAGGGGAGCAACCCTTTCAAAAAATTTAAATGACATGGGGTGGTGAGTGATAGCTCATTTGAAAGAGGGTTTTATTCTCTATTCAACCGTGTAAAAAAATTTGAAAGTTTTCACCTGTATATAACATGTGTAATAATTATAATAATATTAGTGAACAGTTGGATATATTTAATTGCAGTGTTAAAAACATAAAAACACATTGTTTAAAATAATTTAGAATTTATTTACTGT